TAGCAGAGTAATAACATTACTCTGTTAAGTAGAGCATAATTTGTCTTATTCAAATTTAATTTGTTCTCTCTTTCTCTCTCTCTCTCTCTCTCTCTCTTAAAATGTGTAAATTAAATTCAACTGCCACTGTAGAGAATGTGATTTACCTGATTTGCTTCCAAATGTACCATGATTGTATAACTATACGTTGAGCCTTAGCACTCCCAGTCCATAATATTTATTTATTTGAGATCAGTCAGATATTTGTTTAGTTTTCGCAGTTGGCTGTAAACTTAATCACTTTTCTGGCACGGTCAGCCAAAGCAAACAACATTTCGGGTTGTTGTCGTCTGTCTTGTTTGCCCCCGAAGACAACTCCCGCGCCTCGCAGCACCACATCAGTCCCACTCCCTGCCCGCCGCTTGGCTTTCTGCCCAAGCAATTTGGCTTGGCCCCGAGCCACGGCATTTCACTGTTTGAGTTTGTGCGCCAGGCGTTTGCCATTTAATTGCAGGGCCAGAGATTGAGGGCAGCTCGACCTGTGGTTGGGCTCGCCTGTCTGTTGAGGGTGGCAGCTGCAGGGTGGGGCTGTGGCTGGGGCTGGAGCTGGGCGAGGGCGTCACTGGCAAAAGTCTCTAGCACCCAAATCGCCTTAATGTCAGCAAATTAACTTAAAACGCATAAAGCGAGCATTATTTTGTAATTATTTATACGTGGCCAGTGCTTTGTTTGGCTTTCCCACAGGCCAGCAGGGCAGCAGGGCGCAGGGCAACATTAAAGAGAGAAGTGAACCCAAGTTCCTTTCAGATTTTTGCCTTTTCACTGAATCAATTTGTTGGCTAATTGTGATTTGATGATCCCTTCTGTTGCAGATACTACTATGACAAGAATATCATGACCAAGGTGCACGGCAAGCGCTACGCGTACAAGTTCGACTTCCAGGGCCTGGCGGCTGCCACACAGCCGGCGGCCAGCGATCCCACCTACAAGTATCAGAGCGATCTGTTCATGACTCCATATCATCACAGCGCCAAGCTGAGCTCGTTTATGAGTCCGCATCACGGCATGACCTCGTCCTCAGGTGCGTGAGCAGATGCCATAGGGATTGAGTGTTATACTAACTAGTTTCTGTTTGCCTCTCTATTGCTGCAGCTTCCATCTTTCCCACGGCCGCTTCGTGGGGCAATTGGGGCAGTCCGGCTACCAATTTGTATCAGCCGCACTCGATGGGCCATGTGACCCCGTCGCATGTGGCGCCGCATCTGAGCTCCTATCCGCACTATGCATGACCATCATAATATGAGAGCAATGCCGGCGCTAGCAGCGGCAGCACAGTTAGCGTTGGCGTCGGTGTCGCCGGCGGCGCGGGCATTATGAGCGGCTTTGGCAGCACGGCAACAAATACCACCAGCAACACTACCAGCAACAATACCAGCAGCAGCAACAACAACAGCAATAGCAACAACAACAACAACAATGGCAACAGCAACAACAACGGCAGCAGCAGCAGCAGCAACAACTTGAACACAGGCCACTCGCATCTCTCGAGCAATGCGGCCGGCAGCTCTGTGCTGGAGGCTCAGAATCCAGCGCACAGCAGTCCGGGCTTCGGCCTGGGCGTGCACGGCATGAGCATGGGCGTGGGCGTGGGCGTTGGTGTGGGTGTCGGCGTGGGCGTAGGCGGTGGCAATTCGACGCTCAACTCCTTGGTCGTCGGCAATCGGCTGATGAACAGCAGCCTGCCCACGCTGCTCAAATGATGCCACCTGGAAAAGTTCGGGCTGAGCTTGGGCGCCGGCCCGCCACCGCCAGCGGCCACGCCCGCCGGCGACTCAGCACTGGACGGCAGCAGCGGCGGCCTGGCCTACGCCGGCAACTATGCCGAGCGTTCGCTCTACGACTACGTGGACGTCAAAGGCGAGCAGGCAACGTTTTTATTGTAAGTGTAACCAAAACCACCAAAAATACCAAATGAAAATCAAAGAAAAACAAACACAAATAGCGAAGAAAAACAATACTCTAGTGAAAGCAGCAGATTTTACTCTTAGGCATTAGCGAAAGAACCATTTGAAGTAGGTAGGCTGATCAGGTATGCCACCAGAGATTGCATCACTGTGGGCTTGATGCACTCTCTGCAACCCGGCTGGCACTCATGGTATGCATCAGCATCCATGGTGCTAACCATTCCCAGCAGCAGCTACAAAGTCCTGTTAATTATCATCTCTCAGCAGCTGTGCTTTGCATCTGATACTCTCCTGTGAGCTTTGCTTCCATGAAGATCCGTTTGCTTTAGTAGGTATAACAGCAGCTGAAGCTGGACTACTTCCTTGTAGTTCTTGTTTCTTCTTCTTGTTTCACAATACAATGCTCTAGACAAGACCATGCCCTTCCATGGTCATCTGCCACACCAGGGATTCGCTTTCCGCGCCACTCGCCCTTGCAGCACATGTTGTTCTTGGTGAAAATCGAGCAGTGATTTTTTATTTTAAATTATAAAAACCTATGTATGTAAATTACTATCTCCTGCTTCTTCTTTTTTTTTTTTTTTTTTTTTTTTTTAATATAGTTTTATTGCAGCTTTTGTCTTAAACTCTGTAGCGCATTTATAAGGATACCTTAACTAATGAAGTGGCTAAATGCCTTTATTACTACGAACTACGTTTACGTTTCACGCACAAAAGTGACATAAAGCAATTGTTACTGCAGCACTCGTAACTCTTTACGCAGCTTCGTCCAATTCTCAAGCAGAGTAGCGTGGGCTTTCTGCTGTAAATCCCCAAAATGCACAGCAATATCATAAGCGACCACAGAAGAAGTTTCATTTTACTTGATTTGCAACTGAATTGCTTCTGATGAGATTTGTATAGAGCTCTACGTATTAGCTATGGTAACAACTGCGATTGCAGTTTTAGAGAAGCTTGACGAACGTCTTTGCAACAGCAAATCAAGCGACGAAAAGGCGTAAAGCGTGTCAAGCAGTTCGAAGAATATTTCCAGGCAAGATCTCTATACCTTATGATCAGAAATAATCGATAATTGTAAATTCATCGACCTGTTTGAAAAAAGAAACTCAAAGTTCATTGGGATTGTAGAATAAAGAAACCGACTTTCAATGAATGAATAAATCAATTGATTTCCTTCCCATATTCCATTTCCAGACTATTGATGCTAATCCAAAAATTTTACATAGTATATAATTTTCTTGCTATTTGAAGGGCTACAGTAAAATGAAGCAGTGTTTTACTGATATAACCAATCGACACTCTATATACCACTTCTAAATAACGTACATTAAAGTTGATTAACTATTAATTTGAAGGAAGGTAGCTTCATGTGATTGGATTTTATCTAGTTCTATCCATTAGTTGCAGTATCACAGGAATCTATGTCTTGCCTTATCTTAACTAAAGCCTGTAATACATCGAATCAAGCTAGGGAAAATGCTAACTCGTCAAGCGGGACAGAATTTCAGCTTGAATGAGACTTGTTATTATGGTAGACAGAAATCTGTTGTCTATTATGTAAATGCCAACTGTAGTGCAAATCTTTCAGCTCTTTTGGCTTGAGGTATCAATCACTCAATCATTGTCATTTTCATTTATGTTAACGCTGATTGAAGTAATCGCTGGGAATTTTAAGAGTTTTTAAAGACTCTATGTGCAAGAGGCTATGTGGATTATGGTAATTATTTGGAATATATATATTCTTGATCAGCTAAAATCTGAGCTCAGTGTGTCTGTAAATATCATTCAGCTACGATAGAGTCTAATATTTTGTGTCTTGTTCAAATACATCATTATATATATGTATGTATGTGAGTGGGTGTATGTAAGAGTGCGTGTATGCGTGTATGTATTTAGTCTATTTTAGTTAGACGTTGTTTTTCCATAGGTTTAACTCTTAACTACAAAATATACATATGAGAATCAAACAAAAATAGTTTTCCAATACGAAAACAATTTCGCAAATCTTCAGAATTGTTCTAGTATAAATAATCGATTATAAGCTAGCATACCTACAAATATGAATGTATATAAATACATATATACACTTATACATACACACATATACCTATACATATATATAGAAATATGTGTATATGGAATATTTTGAATTGTTGTTAGCATTTGCCACTTGTTAATAGTAAGCGATAAGCAAGTCTTAATGGATCATTCATTCAATGTCTTTCTGCTCGAGCGACTAACGCCTCAAAATATTAATTGTAAGCCCAATCGATATCATATTATCGATCATTTTTCGCTTAATAGAGAATCTGTTTGTTGACAGCGAACTGTAAATATACAAATATATAGCAGCTAGATCTAAGAACGCATAGAGTATTTTTAAGTTGTGCCATACCCTGTACCCGTTGTATGGTACAGGGTATTAGCTACCATTTTTACTTTATTTTCCAATTTAGTTTATTGTTTTTTTGTTTTGTCTTTTAATATCTACAATATTTGGAATATTCTCTATCAGTTCTATATGGTTGACTGTGATAGTTGATTGTACAGTTATAATCTCTTGAATAATTTCTAACCTAAATACATAATCCAATAAAAAAAAAAACAAAAATAACAAAGAAAAAACAATATATATAGTCTTAAAACTAACATCCGAAATTTCTGTGTGTATAAAAAATATTTAGAATTTTTAAGCGCAAGTTTAACAATATTAATATATATATGTACCCTCGCATTGGGTATCGATACTTATAAATGTACTTATGTAATTTTTAAATGTGTGTGTAATTGAGATACGCAACTTTATGCTACATCTAAATGTATACAATTTTTAAATTCTGAATGTAACTTTACAAATTATATGATATAGCTAAGTATAAAAAAAAAAAAAAAAACAACCACCATGCCCACATTGTGTACCCCAACTCCTAGTCCCAACTGTTCCCTGTAAGCGTTAAGTTGATTTAAGTGGAATACCTTTAACAAAATAATAATAATAAAAAAAAAAAAAAAAAAAAAAAAAAAAATTGAAACCCAATTCAAGAACAACAAACTGAATGTTTTTCCAATCCTTTCTTCATTTTACTTTATTTACATGTAATTTGTCACTAATTGGCATAGTTAATATTTTACTCGGTGTCCTTGTTGAACCACTTGAACTCGTAGTGCTTCAGGGAGTTCTCGGCAGGCAGTGATGCCTCTTTTCCCTCCAGTTTGCGCCAGCTGATGTGCGGCTGGAAACCGAACTCGTTCGCAATATACTCGACTATACGCTCCACAGCATCGTCGCCGATGGCAAAGTAGTTGCCCACCTTATCGCCATTCCGGCTGCCAGTCTCCTCGTGTCCATTGTAGTCTAGCAGGTATTTGAATTTGTACAAGTCTCCGGATAGATCTGCACTTCCAGCCGCTCCTGTGCTGGTTGTTGACTTCGATGCTTTGTTGGTTGTTGACTGCGGTGCGGTGTTTGCTGCAAACAAACCGTTTGCTATTATAATTAACGAATGGAATTTCGGTTTTACTCGCTTACTTGGCGTATAAGTTGCTGAGCCGCTGCTGGGTGGTTGTACTTGCTTGGTTCCTGCCACGGCTGGCTGAACTGCAGCTGCTGTAAGTATACATAAAACGTAAAACACCTTAACGCTTGACGGTAGTTGTCTGGGCTTACTTGGTATGAAACTTGCTAAACTGCCGCCTGACGGTTGCGGTCTCTGCTGAACCTGAGTTCCACCTAAGGCTGTAAAAATATGGAAGTAAATGAAACTTAACAAATATAAAGTAGTCATTACATACCTGGCTTGAAGTTGGCTGAGTTGCCTGTAGCTGGTTGCGGCAGAGTTGCACCTAAGTCTTTGAAAATATGGAATATAAATAGAAGTCAACGAAAGGGTATGTGTCTAGGCTTACTAAGATTTAAATTGTCGAAGCTGCTGCTAACTGGTTGCGGTCGCTGGTTTGGCTGTGCCCCGGCTAGTGCTGTGAATATTTATAAGAGTAAATAAACTTAACGAGTAGTTGATTGGTGTCAAAACTTACGCGTTTTGCTCGTTGGTTGTTGTTGCTGCTGGGTTGCTGTCACGGCTGGTCGAGGTGCCGCATTGCCAACTGTACTGATTGGTTGTTGAACTGGCTTAACACCTATTGATTATTGAATTTTAAATTAGTTTAAGTTTCATTGAAATGCAAATTGATTAATAGGTTTACTCAGTGGTTGTGTGTGTGCAACGGTGTGTGTTTTTTGTGCTGGTGTTGTTATTTTTTGTGTGCTTAACAATGAATCAGAAGTTGGCGCAAATATTGCGAATTGGACTGGTCTGGGCGCTGCTGCAACTGAAATGGGATTAGGACGTAACGGTGTGGATGTCAATGTATTATCCTTCAACTGTTTATTCCCGATAGCAGGCAGTGCCAAGCTGATTAGCCTAATGCCACTGATGCCTGGAGCCTTGACTAAGCCTTGCTTAGCATTAGCTGAGGGCAGCTGCTGCTTGCTAGAGGGCAAAATTCCAAATGCAAAGTTCTTAATATCTTTGAATCCCGTTGCGGTTGGCGTAATCCTGGGCAGCAGCTCCACTTTTGCTAATGGTTGCAACGTATTTCCTTTGGGAAGCTGCGCCTCGACCTTGGTTAACGGCAATTGCTGCCTGTTCGCTGGTGGTTGACCAAAGACAAAGCTATTCAAATCCTTAGCTTCAGTTGATGCAGACGGAATCCTGGTAAGGCTCTCCACTGTCGTATGGGCTATTGGTAGCACCAACTGTTTCCTGGACTTCACCACGTTCTCATTGATTCGTTGAGCCTTGTTGGACAGCAGCTGCTGTTGCGGCTTATTCCCTGGCTGACCAAAGGCAAAGCTATTCAAATCCTTGGCTTCAGTTGAGGCAGGCGGAATTCTGGTCAGGCTCTCCACTGTCTTATGGGCTATTGGCAGCACCACCTGTTTCACGGACTTCACCACGTTCTCATTGAGGCGTTGAGCTCCATGAAGCTGCTGCTGCTGTCTATTTCCTGGCTGTGGTCCAAAGGCAAAATTAGCCAAGTCCTTTGGCCCCGACGCAGCAAGCGGAATCCTTGCCAGCTTCTGAACTTGCTCAGCCGCCGAGCTGAGAATTATCTCTGGTAGCAGATGCTGTGGCAGCGGCGCTGAGGCGGAGGTGCTGGGTCTGCTCGTTACCAGCATGCCCTGCACCTTTGCAATGGCATGCGACAAGGCCACAGTTTGCGCATTGACCACCACCGGAGCTAGTGTGGTCGTTGCATCTGTGGGCGTGGCAGTCGTGGGTGCTGCTCCTGGTGTCAGCTGAGAGCTAATCGAATCCGGGTGCTCAGCTAGAATGGCCAGATGTACGGATGCCTGCTGCAAAGCATCCGCATTCTCCAAAATCGCCTGGCCAACGACTCCACTCTGTGTGTGTGTCTGTTGTGTGCCTGTCTGTGTGTGCGTGTGACCTATGATCTGCTCACCTGGCACAGCGGCTGCCGCCGGGGACAGCGGCTGCGAGAGCGGACGTATCTCGTTTTTCGTACTGCGATTGCCTTCAGCACTCGCAGGGTTGCTCTTCGGGTCTGGCGAGGAGTTGCCCAAGAAGCAGCCCGAACAGGCGACCGTATGGAAATTGTGCTTGGTCACAGGCGTCGGGATGCGTTGCGTGCTCGTCGTGGGCGGCGGGCTCTCTGTCAGTGAGATAAATTGTGAGCAAACAAAGGGAGCAGCTTGTGAAGTCTCAGTTGCAGTCCTAGCAAAGAGACGGGCCTCTCGAACTGGGACTCCACAAGTGGAGCACTTCACTCTTCTTCTTCTATACTTACTGGGCGCCTTGGGACCCGCATACGGAAAGTTCTTCATGGAGATGATACGAAATTTGCCATTCTCGTCAGTCGCATAGACAGTTACATGGTAGATGCCATCGGCGGTGATAAAGCCGAATTCGCCCATTACAATGCCATTCTCGTCTGTCAAAAGGGCGGAAGACAACCTGATTAACATTTCATAGGCGCGTTAAGCCGACCTAGTCGTAAGTGATTAACCGACTAATGCTCTGTAAGCTGTAGCTACCGCGTGCTGGTGGATCAACTATATTCTCTTTCCCTTGAAATCGTAATGCTATTGTAATACTAGAGCACACGATAATGTGCTATCGATATTTATCGTATTTTTTCTTGGGGAAACAGATTGGAAAGTATACGATATATAGTATATATACAATGTAATATGTTTGATCGAAGTTATTTAAGAGGAACATCCTCTCATAACTAATATTACCTTAATAATTCGCGATATATATTGTGTGTGATGTACAAAAATAAGAAAATAATCTGCAGACTTTCACGGAGAATCGATAGCGATCCGGAATATCATTTAAAAATGTTTACAACAGTTTGGCAAACACTTGAAATAAAGGTTAGTAGTATTCCAGGGTATCAGGTACAGGGCTTTGTGACAACATTCCATAAATTACCTTCATTATTGGAGCTCCGAAAGCATAACTGGTTCAATTCTTTTTCATAATTCGTTTGACAAACCAGCCAAACAGGCGCTGAAGCTCGGCTATAAAGATAATCATCTAATAAGCCGTTGTGTTATGATGATGATCGTCATCTTGTTATCTGCCTCTGCCGCTGCTTCTTTTGTCAACGCAAGCGCATGGGGGCGAATATATGTCGAGAGTTATGCTTAGCTTGAAAACTTAGCATCTACATCCTGCTACAACTAAAGCCACCCACCTGTACAGTACCTGACACAGTCAGTCTGTCTTGGCTTGGGTTTGCTTTTGTTGCGCTCACGGCTAGCCTAAACGAGTTTCGTTTCGCATTTATCGAGCGCCGATCGCGTTCTTTAAACGCTTTAATGCCTGTTGCGCGATTGTTTGTATTATTTTAATGTCTATAATCGGCTGTCGATTCTTTATGGCCGACTCAGACGCTAAGGCCTGTGTAAGATCTTTGTATATAGGGTATTCAAATGTCACTTGAAATATCAAAAGTTAGCAGAAAATATTATTGTTTGCTTTTTTTGTTTGCTTGATTATAAAGATTTGGAATAGGAATGAGATACTTTAATAGCTACGTATATAAATAGGGAGATTGCGAGATGTTCTTAGATATTCAAATGTTTTGAGTTAATTATCTTCTATCTTTATGTTTCCTATAGGTTCAGGAATCTCATTGTCTCGTTTTGTATTTTCAGGCTTCTGAGCCATTTCTTCTTTAATAATATTCATGTTGATTAAATTCTAAAGACCTCTATATATATATATATATATACATATATATGTACTCTGTACCCATAGGATATAGCTATGCGGCAGAGTCTCTGTGTTGATCAAAACTGCTGAATCGATTCAGTCCTGTCCGGCTGTCCTTATGTATGAATGCTTGCACTTTAAAACCTAGAAACTCCTCTCAAGCTTGTTTGAAATAATTGATAGCTACTCCCGGGCAATTGTCATCGATCAGAAAGGCTATCGACCTTCAGCTATTAAATTAAATATTGTATGTCTTTAGAGCTAAATTTAGGCGTTTTGCACATTTGTTTCGATCCAAAAATCAGCTTGACTGGTTTCATATTTATATGTCTATATATAATTTTTTTTTTTTACTTTTCTATTGTATTATATATATTTTCTTTTCTATTTTATGATATTTTATTTACAATTTATATTTAAATATATATTTTTTATATTTTCCCTGACTGTTTATTTTGTGTAATATTTTTAAGATTTGAGACAGTTGCTTTAAATAATAATGAAAAATAACAAGTAAGAAGGCTCCAGTCGAGACTGCTCGACTAGGAGATACCCTGAACCCTCTAAGCTGATATTCTAATCATTCTGCACTTCTTTTATTCACACATACATACACATGCATTCACACGCACGCATAAGCCTGCGCTCTGCTAACTGCGCAGTAAGCAGCGACTGCGCTTGGGCTGCGCTGCAGTGTGGGCAATATTATGAGAATTTATTTGTTGAATAATTTCTTTTGTAGACATACGATCTTAATGAAACTTTCAGAGCGTATTCATATGGTGAATATGTGTGTACATTCCAAAGCACAAGTCTCTAGTACTTGAAATGCGTTTTTTACAAATTGGGGGCGAAGGGGGCGTGGTATCCAAAATCTGTAAACTACAAAATCTTTGTATCCATTAACTTTATATACAACGCAAATTTAAAGTGTTCAAATTAAGCTTAAAAAACAAAATCAATTTTTCGATTATTTTCGATAAAAATGTTATCGGATGATTTATCGAAAAAATAAAGCAAACTCGTACTGCGTATGGTACACACGAGTATGCATGCCAAATTTCAACTCTCTAGCTCTTATAACTTCTGAGATCGACGCACTCATACGGACGGACGGACGGACGGACGGACGGACAGACGGACAGGGCTATATCGACTCAGCTCATCGCGCTGATCAAGAATATATATACTTTGTGGGGTCTGCCACGCCTCCTTCTGCCCGTTACATACTTTTTCACAAAACCATTATACCCTGATTTCCCATTTTCAATGGGTTCAGGGTATAAAAATATATTGACCTTCAGCTTCACCGTTATTTCCAACTCCTATAGAAGAGAACTGTCTCAAGAATGCTCCCACGTCTATTAATAACGATTACGATTTAAAATTATAACTATTCCAAAACTATAATTCATTCTCTATGCAAATGCAAATGCGTTCCATAGACCATGCACAGCAAGTTACTCAAGCGATTTGTGTGTCTGTGCGCGCTTCCTAACACATTCAACTCTGGCATTTAATGTGGGCTGCTTTACCGAGGAATATATATTTATAAATATTGAGATTTTCGGCCATTTGAATTCGTATTAAAAACGATATGAAAACGATAAAAATAACGATCAAAATCCATAAATATGTCAAGACATGCTATGGAACACCGCTGTCTCTACATGTTATGCTAATTGAAGAGTTCTTAAGTTTTTGAAAAACTTTATTACCAATTCGAAAAGCAGACAAAACAAAACGGCAGCCTTTGTAGCTGTAGACAGAGTTGAGGCCAACACTGAGACTTGGGGAGTTGGAGAGTTGGGGAGCTGGGGACCTGAGGCATTTCAATTGATATTGACCCGCAGCACGTCGGGTGTCAGCAGCTGCAGCAATTAGAGACCTCTAAACGTGTATTGCACAAGCCGTTGGGGCAGTTGCGTCTCTGTTTGTGGCAGTTGCACAATGGCCAGTTATGCCTTTTATGTCAGCATGATGCAGCTCAATTTACATATATACACATACATTTGTATATATGTGTATGTGTGTCAATTGATTGCACATTAAATTATCAATTAAACTAATCCTTTTACTGCTGCTCACCTCGACTCTCGGACCGATGCTGCTGCTCCTCTATGGTGAAGCCGAACTTGTAGGGACGCACAGTGGCTGCCAGCAGACTGTGACAGCACAATAAAGTCAGCAGCTTAAATAAATTAAACAGTTATAAATTAATTCACACACTCACACACACACACACACACACTGCACACTTACTGCACAAGCGAGTGCCAAAAACATTTGGCTCATTTTGCAGCTGCTTTAATTTATTTAACTTTTAATTGTCTTTTTTTTTTTTTTTTAGCTAAACTCAGCTTATATATTACTATAATTTATTTGTATATTTGAAATTTAATTAATGCGTGGCTGTGCCGTTATGCGACGCGTCTCTCGGCTGAGCAGGCGACAAGCTGAAACACACCCCACGATGTTCGTCGACCAATTGACAAACTAAATAATATTTGGTAAACATTATAAAACATTGTCAGCTTCTACAGCTGGATGAGCCAGCTACAGAGACTGCTGTGTATTGTATGTACATTGTCGGTGTGCGTGCGCGCGTGTGTGTATGTGTGAGTTAGCATTTCAGCTACCTCATTCATGCCTGGCTTCTGCTCACTGAATACCCTTTGATAATTTGTTTGTTTATACTCATCTGTTGGCAGACTCTAAGATGATAAGTTTTCAGATTTGAGATATAAAATATGTATGTATGTAGATATAATAAATAAACTTAGTAAATAGATATTTATGATCTCTTTAGTTCTTTGAACTATTGTGAACATGTTTGGAACCAGCTCTGATATGCTGAATTCTTGATGATGTGAATCGGGACCAAAGCCTATAAAGTAGGTTTTGCAAAAAGTAGGTCAATTCAAAAGGGGTAAATATTTATATAAATTACAATATATATAATTAAAGCTAGCAAAAATAATAATAATAAAATAATAAAATATTTCACAATATTTAGAAGAAATTTTTTATAGATATGATAATACATTTTCAGAGAGTTTGCCTTCTCAATCTATTTTTTGCTTAGTGTATATCTATTTTTGTAAAATACATTTTTTTTAATTATTAAACTTTTACTTTATATAGGTCTATTTCATTTTATAATTCAATTATTTTTTTTTTATAATTACAACTAATTCCCTATAAAAAATTTTAAATTTGTACAGGGTATACACAAGTTAATGTTACTGAGAGAACACTTCATCTACTCCAGTATAAATAATTATTGGTATTTCTCAAAAGTTGTTATTATGCCACTGATTTGCATAGTTCGTAGCGAATTGGAAGACACATGAATCAGGTAATATACTATATTTATTGACACCTGCGAAGACTGAGTAGGCAACGCGTTCTCTGTCAATTGGCTAATTGAAGACCATTTGGCCGGCTTTATAAATAGACGCTCAATATGATTTATCAGCTCTGCCCATTGATGCCGCGCTCAGTTGTCAACAATGTGAATGCAATGAGGAAGAGTTCGATTGGCATGCATCATTAATTAGCCTGTCCTGAGATGCGTTGCACTTGCCGGATGCTGCGAAGATGCATCGAGTGATCTGTCAGTTATATTCTTGTATCGTAAAATATTGCTGTCAAGTTCAAGGTATATTTTGAGCGCACTTCTGTGCGCTTCATTTGCATATAGATTGCAACTGCAGCTATTTCAATAACATATTAAATAAGCAGCATTATTTTGATTTAATTGCAGTTGCCAAAAAGTATGCAATGAAAAATACTCAAGTTCGTTGCCTAAGTCTTTTGTTTTGATTGTGTTTTCAAATGAAGCCCAAAAGTTGAACGTGGCTTTTGATTGCCAAGTACGAGCTTTGACAAGTTGACGCATACTTATAGGTGGTGGGACGAACTACAAATACCCTGTAATATTTATTTCATTTATTTGATAGCCTGACTCAGATGAACTTTTTAGTCTTCCATTATTTGTCGTGAATTTGAGAGACAAAAGGTGGCAAATTTAATTCGATTTCGTTTTTCTTTTGTTATTTGCTGACCGTTAAATGCGGATATACAATAGGTAAGGTTTTAAATACATAAATAAAGCTCGGTTCTTAATTGAATAGAGCTAGTTATCTACATTTTGTATCAATGTATTATCATATATTTGGCGATAGATATGTACATGTTATACAGATATGTATATACGTATATTTCTATATGCATATATCTATATTCATATATGTATAGATGCATAAGCATGTATGCATCTCATTAAGAGCACGCATATCGTTAAAGTCTCTATGAAGTTTGCATCTCAAATTCATGCAGCTATCTGCATAGATTTGCATCCATCTTCGATCAATTCGCACTCATTTAGTTTGCGTTCTTCACACCATTTAAGTGTGCATAACTATGTCGTCATTAGATCTATCGGCGTAAGTGCTTCACGCCATATGAAACTAGGGTAATTCAATATCCACCAATTGCCTCTAGTCGTAATGGAGCAATCAAAGCAAACAGGTTGCTGCGCTTCGAAGCGCTCGCTGCGACTGATCGAAGCTCGCAGCTGACCCAAACCTTTATACTTTGTTGCAGTTGGCTATATGTCAACATTGTTGCTGTAGCTTGAAGCCTTGTTGTTTCTGTTTGATTTGTTGTGCATGACTTGTTTAATGCTGCAAAGTGAACTGAAGTGCTTATTATTTTATATGAGAGATTTTAACAAAGCTGGCTAATCTTAAAGATAATTTTGGCTTATTTTGTATTTTATTTATTTATTTTTTTTTTTCAGTTTATAATTGGGTTGTAAAAGAAGGAATTTAAAAATCATTGAGAAATAAAACTATATATATATACAGAAAAAGGTTATTGATCTTTATGCAAATATTTTTTAGAATCTAAAGCAATTTGAATTGACTTTATGGCTTTAGGAATATGTTTACGTTAGCTAAAGCTAAACTCCGAGCTAGCTAACCAGTGTTGAGCAATGTTCCAGCTTATTTTCGACAGTTCAATTAGTATCATCTGAAACACATTCACATCAGTCGTATAGCAACTTTTATGGTTATACATATTTACAGCTTGTGAAATTGACCTTGAAAAATGTTTTTTTTTTTTAATAATTTTTATCTTTGATTTTCGATTTTGATTCGCTGCTCTCTGCTAATTGCCCAAAAATTGTGGATGCATAGCTTTCATTATGTACCTATTAATTACAAAGAAACCAAAATGCCACCAAAAATGAGAAAAAACTCGTTTTTTCACATACACAAATTTTTGCGAATTCCGTTGATGATGCAAAATTAACGCGAAGGTCGAGCACGGTGCGTACGCGTGAAACGAGAAGAAGAAGACCACGGAAAAAGAAAATAAAAATAATACAAATTATAATATATATGCACCTACTATATATGTATGTGTGTGTATGTTTGTATGTATGCAAATCGAGTTTCGGCTTTTATGATGCGGCCCAGCCAGCCATCAGCCAGCCAGTGTTACGTAATACTTTTCATTTCGCTTCAGACCTAGAACACGTTATGCAAATCAATAATTAGGAATCGAAAATCTAGCCATTGGCATAACTTCTAGCGCATATACACGGTCAGTTATCTAGCTACATAGAAACTAAAAGTGGTTATTTAGCACACTGATCCGGGTTATAACTTTCCTTGCTTCTTTATTTTGTTTGTTTTCAAAATGTATTTATATCTTGGCTAGCGGGGAATTCTTTTATATAGCATTTTGAGAATTTTGGTTTAGTTTGAGAAAATGTTTAAATAGCCAGAAGACGAACGATGTAGTACGCTGATTTATGCATACCAATCTCTCCGATATATACAGGTGAAAAAATTACCTAGAGCAGTTCTATTTAGGAATATCTGTCCCATTACTGGCTACCACCCGGCGGACTGAATATTCCGAATCGCACGAGACTTCACAGCAGCTGTGAAGGTCACGCATTGTATGACATCCACTAATGGAGCAGGCAGCTATTTATAGTAAAAGAAGATCACGGAAGAAGCTAATTCAACTAGGAGTTACTCTATCCTAGCAGCTATCAAAAAATTTAAACAATAAAAACTATACTAACGGAATATGAAGCGTCTCAAAATCCGTTTACCCTCAATGCCCATTTTTAAAGAGTATTCGCATTGATAATATATGTGCATAAGTTTGAGCATCGATTTTTATGTAAACGCCGGAGTAGCCATCAGATCTATTTGATTTGCATTTGTGATTTGACGATTTGCATCTTCAATAAAAGAATAATTAGCATAGCTTTTGGCTCATCTACACTGTTCAATATGCATATGTATGTATGTATATGCATATGGGCAGTTATTATTACACTGATTCGGATGAAATATATATAATTTGCATAGCTTTTTATTGTATTATTATTGTATTAAATGTTTGTTACTTAAGTGGAACACTTCTACATATTATTGCTTTCTTTTTTTTTTGTATTTTAATTTAAAATGTTTTCAACTGTTTTATATTTTTGGTGTTTTGTCTTTCGTGGTGTTCCGAGGGATCCGTTGTGGTGTCTAGGCAACTAGCTTGATGGTGGGATGGTAGCCCGTTTCGTCAGCCGTAAAGGTAATCTCGTATTTCTTGCCATCCGGCGCCGTCCAGCTGCTGGAGCCGGACACAGAGAGCACGCCCTCGGCATCGCCCACGCCCGGCTTCAGCACGCCCTCCTCGCTGCGCACAATGCCGTTGCTCGTCTCATAGCTGCCAAGTGGAAGGATCTATGTATACCTATCGAGCTCCCATGCGCAATGTAATCAGAACTCACTTGAATGAGTATTTGTCGACGCCATTGTTGTCCGTCTCCAGTCGAATGACCTCCGCCTGCGCATCGTCTGGCCGGGGCAGTGCGAGCACGCAGCTACCCGCCAGGCAGACGACAACAAAGAACAGGGTAGAGCCTTGCATGTTCGGTTAACACTTGACTGCACTTTACTAACCCATTGACCGCAACGCCGTTTGCTTTTATATCCGATTCTCGCCTCTAAACCTATCCTAATCGCCAACAAAATAAGATAATAATAATAATAATAAAAAGAAATCGCAACGCAAGCTAAGTAAACAAATTAATGAACAAATTCAATAAAATACTTTTTAATTACAGATTAACACATTGGCTGGGCATCACAGCCAAATGCATACAAAATACAAAATAAAAATCATTTATTGCCATTCCACAAATGCTAAAAACAAAAAATAAATAACAACAAAAAAAAAAAAAAAAAAAAAAAAAGAACAAATCAAAAATATAAAAACGTCAAGATGAAGCTAAATCAAAATATCACTGATCTGTCATTATTTAGCTATGATAAATCTACTGCGAATTGCTTTTGCGTTGCATCGCAGCGCAGTAGATCCAGAGCTTGATTGACTTTGATTTTCTATGACCTCAGCATGACATAAGCTCAAATCTATTTAAGTTTCATTGCAATTGAAAGTTTACTTTAAATAAAGGCATATTAGATTTGAAATATTTAGTATTTATCAAGCAAGGCAAAGACAGCAGAAACTATATATACACGGAATACTCTACTCTACTCAAAATAGATTTTAACTTTTCAGTTGTAAATTAGCCTCTATTGCTAGACCTCTGCTCATGTCTATGAGCACTACTATAGCTGTATCTATGTTCCTGTGCTCATGTCTACTATCTAGATCTATGCAAAGTTTTAGGAGTATTTTTCCATTACTCATTCGGCCTTTTCCTATGTCCATACCTCTGTTGGCCGATCAATACCTACACTCTAATACTAAATCTTTAATCCTCTTGCTTTATGTCCATGCCTATACCTCTTACTGAATCTGTATAAAGTTTGAAGATTCTTCTTAATATCTACACTAACTCTGATGGCAACTTCGCTTTCATTTCATTTGTATTTAACAAGCAGCGCTGAGCCTCTAGAGCCGTGTCTATGTCTATGCTTCCTATTAGACTATGTCATGCTGTAAGAGTATTGTCAATATTCAGTTTACGTGATATAGAGCTAATCTGCTGCTAAGTGACTCGAATGAGTGAATGAGCGAATGTGACCATTAAGATCATCTTCAGACTCGTACACACTCACGCTTCTCAAGCAGTTTGACCTCCACTTTACTTAAGCCCATCAATAATTGAATTCAGTTTTAACAATTTACTTTTATTCTGTTTTACTTTGCAGAGAAAATACTGATCTGTGTTTGGCCACTTGGAGGATTCGGCCCTTAGTTGTGTGGCAGATGGTCGCCCTGGGGCTGGAAGCCGTTCTCGTCGGCAATGTAGTTGAGCGTGTAGGTCTGGCCATCGGGTGCTACCCAGCTGACGGAGCCGCGCACACTGAGCGCCTCCTGCTCGGTGCCGGCGTTCTTCAGTTCCGCCTGCTCCTGCCGTGTGACTCCATCGCTTGTCTCATAGCTGCAAAGGTAAGGCACATTACTCTATATCCTGTCTGCCAGCATGCCTATATCCTTTCGTGTCTATACGCACCCAAAGTTGTAGCCGTCGGTGCCGATGTTCTCATTGTCGTAGCGCAGAATTGTGGCCTGCTGCGAGTCATCCAAGGGCGCCGCCAAGCTGCTGGATGCGAGCGCAAAGGCGCACAGGACAAAGGCACAAGCGTTGATGGAATGCATCTTTATTGAGGATTCGGAACTTCACGACGCGCTACGGCAGTTGTCACAATTGAAGGCAAACGAATTATGTGGCACCCGCTAATGAGATCGCCAGCTATTTATAGTGGTTCGTCTGGCAGAAACCCAACTGCTCCCACACACACTTACACTGACACTCACACTCACACACACACGGAGAGACTTACTCTCGCTTACACACAATCAGGTAGCCATAACAATCGTCTTTAGTGCACACACAAATTATATAATTGTTGAGTTTGCTCTGGCTATGCCAAAGAGGCACCCTATTTGTATGTATATATGAGTGTGAGTGTGCGTGTGCGTGTGCGTGTGCGTGTGCGTACGTGTAGTTGTGTATGCCTTAAGCTCTTAATTGAACAAGCCACAAAACCCATTAAGCATTTGATGTACACTCAAATCTCATTTCAATTGGCCATCAAGAGTCATCTCCTCTGCCAATGCCTAATCATGATCATCATCATGATCACATTCATAACGATAACAATAATGCGCAATGGATAAGTGATAATGAAATGTGCTAGCAAATATTTGCAGAGTCGCGCGTGTTTGCCTAACTGTGGCAATAGGTCAACGTCTGAATTTACTTGCACAGAAATCCACAAGAAAACAAAACAAAAATTTATTTAATATATTTATGTACATGTACTTTATAGTTGGCTTAATTGCAGTTTAATTTAGGAAGCAGAGACTTAGCAGGAAACAGTTCATACGAGTGTATAATGTGCAAAAATAAAAAAAAATTAAAAAGAATATATTATCTCAACTAGCTGAATATAGCTTAGTCCAGGGCCAAGCTCTTGGGGAACTTGGGCATTTATGGGCATATGAAGAAGCAAGATTTTATTATTGCTGAAAAATATATATAATTAAAACAAAACTTTTTTTTTTTAATTTGTTTATTACATATATTTTTATTTTAGCCAAAATTTGCTTGCTGCATAAGACATCAGATAAAGTATTATATGTTTTTGTATGCCACGAATAATATAAAATGTGATATTTATTTCTTTCTATCAGCTTAAGATCAAGCAGCCTTCACATAAGTATAAAACAATTTTTTTTTAACTTTTTTTTTTTACGATCATGTTTAATGTATTTCTGGAAACTTTCGGCTTATATAGAACTTAATCGTAATTTACGGGCATTTTTATATTTATATATCAACAGGTGACACAATTTCGTTGCATTAAGCTGACCTTAAAAAAGCCCAGCATGCTGAGCCTGCATTGCAAGCAGTTGCCGCTGACGGGCGGGGCGGGGGCGGAGGCGGGCATCAGTTGTTAACTGAAGAAGCGACACGAGATTCAACGAGCAACAGCTCAATGTGTCTGTATGTTGATGACCTTAGTCAATAAAATGAAAGAGAAGAGGAACAAGAAGAGGAGAGTAAAAACGAATAACGAACAAGCTGCGCGCTGCAGCTGCTGGCTGTACAGGGCGTATGCGTAATGTGCTGTAGCACATTCAACAGTGGCTTGGCTGCTGTCCATCCCTGCTGGCCCTGCCGGCAGCTTGGCCGTCTGCACGTCTGCCGCTCCCTTGGCTGCCCATCAATCAGCCACGTACATACGTAACTCTCGACATCGTTTGATTGTTTTGCAGTTAACGATTGATAAATGAGGCGTTTGGCCGAAAGATGCGCCGCGCCGCACCGCGCAGCGCGTTAATTGCCCAACAATGAGCCGCTGGAGCCCAGCTGCACTAGTTTGCCCTTTAGCTGACTTTTGATTTTGCTGTTCATATCTGCTTCTGCTTCTTCTTAGTCTTTTTCTTTATTTTTTATTTTATTTTATTTTTATTTTTATTTTTTTTGAAATGTATTACCGCTCTCTGCTGCTGTTGCCGTGCAGTTCTCACTTTCGTTGCTGTCTTTGTTTGAAGCGTGTTTATTGAACCGGTTCCGGCCCTGGCCAGCTGACTCTGTTAACGCAACGGCCATAACTGTCCGAGCAACGGGTTTACTTAAGCCAGAGTCAATTGACTATGTTGTGCATGTACCCATCGGGTAGAAGATAAATTCCTAAAGTCCCTATAGATCATTGCATACATGGTGAATCTAGTGTAGCATATAGACTCTACAATATACAACTCATATCTATGGACATAATCAGTATAAAATCTTGACTTCTTTAATATACGAATAGTTAGAGTTAGGGTATTTAGACAGCGACTTGCCGTCATCTATGATAACATTCATAATACACACGCATAAGCATTTTTTTCACATGATGCCATATGCTAATTTCATGCTGTGTTAGAATTCATTTGACGTATGGAAATTGATGCGCATAGCTTATCAGGAATCGACAATCAATACACAAACATATACTCGATATATATAGATATATATTTATGGTCATCTTTTAGCATTTAACACATGAGATCAGTGATCGGATCGGATTTTGGAAGCTGCTGCTTGGCTCGTGACTGAAAGCCATTCTCGTCCGCCAGATAGCTGAGCTCATAGTGGACGCCATTGGGCTCCACCCAGTGGATGCTGCCTTGCACAGCAATGGCCTCCAGGCCGGTGCCGGCGTGCTTCAGCTCGGCCGTCTCCTGACGCGAAATGCCGTCGATCGTCTCGTAACTGCGGCGAAACATACATTTACTATTACCAAATACTTGCGATTTGCTGCCACTGGGAAGTGCCTCGGCGTAATGCCAAATGCAAATCGAGCTGACCATCAGAATGATAAGGCCGAGCATCTTGGGTCTGATCATGACTGGCAACGTCACCAACTCTACTGCATCGCTGCGGCCGAGTGACTAAAATTTTGCATTGCAAAAATATATTTTGTATTTTGTTCGCATATTATCAGCAGATCGAACGAGATCAAAATTAATTGAATGCAAATTATATGAAATTTAGAATAAGTTTATAATACAAAATACTGGAGGCATTTTTTCAATATTTCAATACTAAATTAAGACATTTTTATTATAGGAAATCTTTTTCAAAGCGAGTTTTTATAAAGTAAAGTATATACATATATAAATGTGTTATATTATCATATGAAAACAATATCATATAAATACACAATTTTATTATGCATTCAAAACAATTTGCTACCCTCCGTTTGAGTCGCTAAGCCCATGTCTACAATTTTCTTACAAATAACAAATATTTAGAAATTTGTATTTAAGTCTGAAAATTGTTTTAAGCTGCAGACGAACAACACATGTTGATGCCAAATGCTAACAAGCTCTGCAAATGCCAGATAAAATATGCGATGCTGAAATTTCAGAGATTCGATTTAATGATTTCAGCATTTCACTTGCACTTGAGCCAAATGCGAGTGACCCCGTTAGCCGTTAGCAATGATTACATCTATATGTCTATTTGTCTATCTGTGGCTATCCCAATTCACGCCTAGCCGACTAGCTGGCAAAGAAATACAATGCAAAAATAATTGGGTGAGGTTTGGCTGCAAGCAATCAAAGCCAATTGCCAAAAGATAAACCAAGCCAAGTTAAGTAATAAAGGTTGGTCGCAGGAAAACGGGTTTACGAGTGCGCGTACATAAATATCTCTTGTATATATGAATATATATATATATATATACTTTTTTTTAGGGAATTTTTAAGGGAATTTTTTGGCAAGAGTCTGACTATAAATTGGACCTTGCGTTTACACTTGGCATGCACTGCCTGCAAGCTCCTTGTGCGTATCACAACACTAGCCATCCAGCACCAAGCCCCAACAACCTCCAATCAGCAAAATGAAATACTCGTACGCCTTTGCCGCTGCTCTCGTTTGCCTGGCCTGCGTCTCGGTGCAGGCAGCACCGCCCGCAGCTCAGGAAGAGGCGCAGGTGCTGCGCTACGATTCGGATGTGCAGCCAGAGAGCTACAAGTTTAGGTGAGTATCGCTCGTAGCGGAGACTGTGACTGTGTCAAGGTCAGCAAAACGAAAATGAAAACTGGTTTCTCTTCCTCTCTTGCTCACTGCGGCTCATCTTCGACGACGGCAGCTTGGATACAAGCGACAAAGCGCATTATGAGGAGGGCCAGCTGAAGAACGTGGGCACCGACCACGAGGCAATCGCTGTGCGTGGCTACTACACCTATGTGGGAGACGATGGCAAGACCTACACGGTCAAGTATGTGGCCGATGAGAATGGCTTCCAGCCAGAGGGCGATCACTTGCCCCGTGCCGTTCAATAGGCACACAGTGCACAGCAGTCAACAGACGGCGCTCAGTCATGCAGCATCCATATGTTAACTAGGTTTAAGATCAAACAAAATCATTTCTCAAGCAACGCTAGCAAACAAGCAAACAGCGAAAACCAACTCATTGTCATGTTGAATAAAATGCCACCGGTTTCTCTTCCATCTCAATTAACTGTGTTAACAGATTGACTGACTGATGGTTGATTGACGCTTCACCAAAGCAAGAGGCCTAGATTTAACAGTTTTTAGTTAGCAGCTCGTATTAATCGAAAAATCTAAAATGCTATTGCTATGGATGGGTCTTAACCGCTTGGTTGATTGAGGGTATTCTGGTTGGGTATTCAGCTGATTCATGACTGATTACCAATTGCCAATGTTAAGTGCAGTTACTATATGTAGTATTAGGTATTGTATCATTGATTGATAATAGCTATTTGTACAATTGAAAACACCAAAAGAGTTTATAAAACAATCAATTTATTAAAAGTTCAACTTGGCAACTTTCAAATGCTTAGGCAACGGGCAAATGAGCACCCTGTGGCTGGAAACCGTTCTCATCGGCAATGTAGTTAACAGTGTATGTTACACCATCATCGGCAACAAAGCTGTACGAGCCCTTGACGGCAAGAGATTCTTGCTCTGTGCCAACGTTGTTCAGCACACCTTCAGACTGTGAGCTAGTACCATCAGATAGCACCGTTCTGTATTGGGGAAACTCAAGAATCAGCAAGTGCTTAAGGACGCTATAGATGTCTCACTTACTCCTCCTTGTAGCTGTCAGGCTGGACATCCAATACTTGGCGCACTATTTCAACCTCCGCAGGAGCTGCCACGGCCAGGGCGAAGAGAGCAACGAAGACGATCAGGAACTTCATGTTTAGACGGATGTGTAGTGCGTTTGAGATTTCAACGGTAACTATATCTAACAGCACAGCTTGGTGGCGTATTTATAGTGGGTGCATTGGTAGAAACAAATCTCAGCAGGTTTATTAAAAATTTAAAAATCTGCATGCAAATTAATTTATGCTGCCAAAAATAGAATTGTTAAGCAAATACTAGATTACCAGACAGATTAAAATCTAGCAATCAGAACTGTCTTATTATGATAATAATATAACCGGTTAAATCTTTACTGATATATGCCTTTCAGACTTGGTGTATCAAACACATAGATAGGACTAATTAGCATATCCTAGTAGGTCAGGATACGAGACTAAGCAATTAAATCCGAGATTACAAATTAGCCACCATTTTATATTACAGACTCTATCTACTATCAATGTCTTCGCAGGACTAAACCTACTTCCATCTAAAAGCTACTCGCCAAATACAAATTGAGAATCGAATGTTATAATTTTTTTTATATATATATATATATATGTATATATATATTTTTTTTTTAATTTGCAATCTGTCTTGTACTAACCAATAAGCAAATCTTTAAACAATAAATTGAGAATCGAATATGTTATAAATAAATAATTTATATTTTATGCTGATAACTTGAATTCAAACAGCAACAAAATGCTTTTCATAAAATGTAAATTAACCGAAGTGGATATGTGCATACATATATGGATATATGGATTTTGAGCTATGGTTTATGTTTGTAGCCGATTCACCTTCCGTTAAGTCAACGGATAAATAAATTTGCGGAGACAGCGATTAAAATCTTTATCAAGTGATATTTCAATGCAATTTAAGAAATTTAATTAGGTGATAGCTTGGAGGGTCAACGCAAAAAATGCTGCCCTTCGCATGAGGAGACAATGAGTTGCTTCAAATGTCCTTCATTGCAGTTGATAGGGATGAAGTAGATGCTGTAGGCATTATAGGTTGCTGCTTCAGACAATACATAAATATACATATACATATATACAAAGCCAAAGAATTGCACTGAATGATAATTTTGACAATGTTGATTAATTTCCACTGCAGTCTTCTGCATCTACTTCTCTTGATTCCATGGCTTTAGCATTTAAAAGCAGATTATCTCATCTCTATCACGTTATATCTATATCACGTTATATTCTACCACAATGTCGCCGCATATCGATTCAATGCGAAAATGTTAATGCCAGTCAGAAGTGATTCACAGGTACAGTTGAGTTCCGATAATTCGAACAGTTGTTTTTTTTTTTCTATACACAGAAATTCAAATTATCGTGAGTTACCTATAACGATTTTTTTTCAGCGGATAAAATTTTGTTCTATTTATCGCAATTTGGCAGAGTATAAATTATCGAGACTCGACTGTACTTTGAAATGCGATCAGTTGTTGTCACCAGTGAAAAGTGGCAATACAACTTGTAAGCTCTCTCTAAGCTTAACCAAGAGGCAATGGCAAATATTCCGCAATGCAATCCAGAAGATAAAGTAACTGTTATTAGATAAACCTAAATAATAAGGAAAGAAATAAAAGAACACCAAGCAAGTTGATGAAACAATCGATTTATTTGAAGTTGACTTTGTCACATATTAGGCAATTGGGATATGAGCACCCTGTGGCTGGTAACCGTTCTCATCGGCAATGTAGCTAACAGTGTATGTTACACCATCATCGGCAACGTAGCTGAATGAGCCCTTGACGACAAGAGATTCTTGCTCTGTGCCAACATTCTGGAGATGACCTTGAGATTCAATTACAGTGCCATCACTCAACTTCAGTCTATATTGGGAAAAGTGAAGATCAGCGCGTGCTTTAGTATTCTCACAACATGTGGCACTCACGAGTTTTGGAAGCTTTCGGGCTGGACATCGGATTCCTGACGCTCGACCACAACATCAACAGGAGCAGCCACGGCCAGGGCGAAGAGAGCAGCGAAGACGATCAGGAACTTCATGTTCAGACAGATGTGTAGTGCGTTTGAGATTTCAAAGGTAACTATAACTGAGAGCACAGATTGGTGGGGTATTTATAGGTGGAGCAAATAACAACCTGAGCAATTTAATATCGAAAAAAAAGCAAAAATGCATTCAAGTAATTTATGCAGCAAAAATTGAAAAAGTTCAGTCAAACTAGATAAACTGGCAAAAACATGAAATCAGAAATGCCAGATTATCATAATAATATAACCAGTAACAGTTAGACTAATTTCTATTTATCAGTCTGGATCTTCTTAAAATGTATAATTAGAACTAATTAGCATATACAAGTAGGTCAATTTATTAACTCAGGCACATTACTTAATCACATATTGTCCGCAATGAATGCGTAACCTAACGAAACTAAGCTCAACAGAGACGTAATTTTATACTCTCTGTCTGACAGGCAGGACTACCCCCAATAGAAGTCAAACAGAAGGAATATTCACAAATCAGAAATTTAAAACCAGGATCTGACCTTCTCAGCGACTAAGCAATCGAACATCTGTTTTAACAATCCATATATTAGAAATAAATTATTTATATTTTAAGCCGAAAACTTGCTACGAAACGAAAAAAAAAAAATAGAAAATAAACAATAAATTGAAATAAAAAAAAATAAAAAAATTAAAAAACAAAAGTCAACAAAAAGTAGAAGAGAATAGAAACATGTTTTCATGAAGATAAGAAATAAAAAACATAAGCTAACTAGTACACAATGTGTATTTAAATAAATATATGTATGCATATTTGTATATACGTATATATATATAAAAAAAATAAATAAATAATTATAAATTAATAATTTTTATATGCATGCATATATTTATTTACATTTATATATAATGTAAAAATATATATATAAAATAAAATAATTTATATTATTATATACATATACTTATATATTAATATATATAATTTTCCATATTATTTTGATTGGCTTTGACACAGATTTCAATTACAAATTAGTTTGGGTGTAAAATTTGTTTCCTATTATTTCCGGTGCAGCCAAGAGTTATTGAAAAAAGATTAATTTGTTTTAATATATATACATTCAAATATGTGTATATACAAAATATGTATATGTATATATATATAGATATGAATATTTCGATGATAATTTGGACTTGTTTTCATTGAGCTTTGATGCTGTAGGGTAAATAAGCTTTGGCTGTGTGGGGATGTCTATCTGAGATATGTCGAAAATGAAATTGAAGCTTTTTGATTGATTCACGAAAAATGCAAATTCGTCGCAATGTTGATCATGATTATCGAGTTGATTATGATAAACGTGGCGTATCATAATGATGTCTGTGATATTTCCTATGAACATCATTGTTTTGTTTGCCTTAGAAGTTTTTGTTATTATCGATTAATGCTCTGGCTGTTGTTGTTGTTGTTGGCGTTGATTTTTGTTTTGTTTTGTTTTTTTTTTGCGTTTCACACGCAGACTAGAGAGACCTGTTGGTAAGTTTTTTCAAGCCAATTTGTTAGCTGATGCGCTTGAGCTGTGTAATTAGTCATTTTTATTTATTTTTTTCATCGGATTTTGGACAAACTTTTCTTCATTTATATCGTATTGTAGTCATTTATTTGGTGGACACTCAGTATTAGCCATTTTGGGTATAAAAGGCCCCTGGACAGCCGTTGTAGACATCACAAATCAACAACTGTTCACAGTCCGTAGCTCGCGTTCGCAATTCGAAGCCAATCAATATGAAATATACAATCGCTATTGTCTTCGCCGCCCTCCTGGCCGTTGTCCTGGCTGCACCACTCGACAATAGCCAGGATGCAAAGATTTTGCGCCTGGAGTCCGATGTCCAGCCCGGTGGCTACAAGTTTGGGTAAATTACGAACCGAATTTCACCAACGCAAGCCTGTCTCTAATCACATTTGTTGCTATCCCTCAACAGCTGGGAGACCAGCGACGGCCAGAAGCACGATGAAGAGGGTGTCCTGAACAATGCTGGCAGCGAGAACGAAGCGATCTCTGTCCGTGGCTCTTACTCCTTTACCGCTGAGGATGGCCAGGTCTACACTGTCAACTATGTGGCCGATGAGAACGGCTTCCAGCCAGAGGGCGCCCATTTGCCCAATGTTCCAATTAGCCACTAAATTAGCTAACTTTCATCACACAAGAGCTGTTCTTACTTCCTAGAAGTTGAATTTATATATTTTATTTAATAAAAATGGTTTAATGCAAGCATCAATTGAACATCCAATCCAACTCCAACTCCAACTCTCAAGATAAAGTTATAGAAGCTACAGATGCGATACTCTATATATACATAAAGTACAGAGAATTGGTGAATCCTTTTAGGGAGCTGCAATGGAATAGCCCCATTTCTATACATATATAAAATATACACAGACATACGCACAACAGTCGGCTTACTACGCAGTTAAAGCAGCTAGAGTTGCTGTGCTTAGGGCTTTACTATGAGAGCTCTATAACTATAACTGTTCTTTCAGATGTACCTTGATTACTTTTTCAGAATGTGGTAATGACATTTGCCTAAGCACAAGTCTGTAATATTTTAACTATATAAAATTCAAGATGTACGAAATATTTGTATTTATTAGTTCAACACTCCTAATAAAGTTGAAGTTGATATCTTCTTTGATATTCAAGGTTTAAAACAACACTTTTATTGATAATAATGATAATAAGAGCTATAAAAAAATGATAAACTCATAATACGGGATCTCTGGGCCCATATGGAGGGACGGACATTCTGAAGGATTGTCGTACAGGACAATATTAAATCAGCTCGTCGCTCTGTTAAAAAATATATTTATTTTTATAATATCTGCCACGGCTCATTCTGCGTCATATTTATTTATTTTTTTGTAAAGCTATTATAAGTTTCTATTATCAATGGATATAAAATACAGGAAGTCAATAGCCATTGTAGTTGACGTTTATGCGAATGGAATATACATGATTATATATATATTCAACTCATCAGTTATCATCAATATCAGCATCCATAACATGTTAATTATGATCATCTTTATCACTATTTTCATATCTTCATTATCATCCCTATCATTATTGTTTATCATCCCATCACCATTACCACATTCCGCACCAACCACGCATATAGACAGACATCATTTGCGTCACATGTAAACTAGTTTGTCAGTATTCTATTAATTTATTATTTAATTTTTTATTTTACTAATTATTAATATTATTAACATTTTCTATACAGTATACGAAAATAAGAGAGAGAGAGAAAAGGTGCACGATGACATTAGTGTCTCAGTAGATGCCCCTGTGTATATTGTATACTGTCTTAAATAAAGAATTTTACTACATTCTGTTAACCCTAGTACTCTACCTAGTTGAACTCATAAAGAAAAATGTCAGAGACTACTTTTACAAGCCCATCTTGGTTAATCAATATTAATCAATAATATCATCATTTATATACTATATATAACTTATAACACAACTGGTGAAATTGATTAATATCATTTTATAAAAATATATATGTACATATACATAAGTATGTATGCTATACGTACAAATCTATATAAATGTATTCATTTATTATTTATGTGCATTTTAAGTTGTGAATTTTTGGTTAGCTTTTGGCATTAAACTAGTTTTTCACCTTTGTGCGGCCAGCAGCTGACTTGCTATAAATACTCAGGCTTACAGCCCTCTAAGTCACGTTTACCTTTGAAGTCTCAAACGCGAAACACATCTACTTAAACATGAAGTTCCTCATCGTCTTCGTTGCTCTCTTCGCCCTGGCAGTGGCAGCTCCTGCTCAATCTGATGATGTCCAAGTTCTGCGCCAGGACTCAAATGTCGGCATTGATAACTTCCAGACCAGGTAAGTGAAGCACATGAAGGGATTCTTCAAGCTTTTACTTATCCTTGGATACTTACTTTCTCTAATACAGTTTGGAGCTGAATAATGGTATCAAGCAACAAGCCGAAGGACAACTGAAGCAAATTAGCAGCGAGGAATCCGCTATTGTCGTTAGGGGCGCGTACAGCTGGGTTGACCCTTCGGGCCAGGAACACTCAATTACCTACATTGCCGATGAGAACGGCTACCAGCCACAGGGTGCTGATATTCCCGTCGCACCAGTTGCCTAAGCGAAGATGAACTCCTTAAATAAATTGATTGTTTTATAAATTCTCCTGATGTTTTTATTCGACAAAGGAGAATTTGTTGTTTATAATGAAGTTATCTCTTCATATGTGTCAAGTGCAAATGGTACATTAGTTTGCCATTAGCTGATTAATATTTAACTTACAAATTGCTTAAGCTTTCATTGGAACTAATCAAAGTTTCGGCTAAAAAATAATTCTTCTAAATATTGAATTATTTATCAATGGTAATAGTATAAAATATTTATAGCAATGGCTACACGATTTTATAATGAGCACAACGATAATGATGTTAATTTATAGAACTATGACCAATATAAGCACTTTTTGGTACTACATACATACACACACACACACATTTTAGCACGCAAATTTAGTGCATGTGACTTATTTCTATCCAAACAGTTCCAACTAACGATAACGATAAAGATGATAATGAAGCCAGACATAATCGATTTATATATTTTTCATAATAACCGGTTGCCTATACGTAAAACAAGCTGTAAATTAATAAGATATGGATTTGAAGCCCCATTCATTGTCGACAGCTCATCAGAGTCTGCTCGAGACTTTAGTTTACGTTTCAGCTGCTGGCTTCTGCATTTTTTTGTTTTTTGTCTTTTTTCAGAATTAGTTTGGCTTCCAGAGGCGACAATTAACACATTTTGGCCTCAACATAGATATAGCCGTGAAAAAAGAAGAAAAGAGCAATGTTTATATAAACAAAAAAAAGTGTTAATTGCATTAGCTGCTCTTGTCGCCAGCTGATATAAAAAGGCGCTCGCTTATCCAGGAGCACACAACATTATTATCCGCAGTCCAAGTATGAAGTGCGCATTAGCCATCGTCTGCCTGGGCCTTTGTGTGGCGCTTGCCACAGCCGCACCCACCAATGATGCCACAATTGTCAGCCAAGCGGCTGATGTGAGGCCCGATGGCTACACCCTCCAGCTGGAGACAAGCGACGGCACCAAGCGCTCAGAGGAGGCAATCCTGAACAACATTGGCACCGAGGATGAGGCCATCTCCGTTAAGGGCACCTACTCCTATGTGGGCGACGATGGCGTCACCTACCAGGTTAACTTTGTGGCCGATCAGAATGGCTACCAGCCCGAGGGAGCGCACATACCAAAAGTTTAATTCTAAGTTAAAGTTCTTATATAATAATCAACAATAAATATAAAGCATACCATCAAAAGAGAATTATTTATATTTTTAGAATGCATGATGAATTCATTATAGAGTTTGACACCTTTAAATGCGTTTCCAGTTTGTTATTCTTCTTTTTCCTCTTCTATGACGGAGTCTGCTGGCAACCAATTTAAGTTGAGAATTCAAATATAGAGACATATAGTTTGTTGATTATTTTTTCACCTTCATTGAAATCTGTGCTCTCAATTTGATTTCTAGTCTTGGGATTTGGCTTGGGTGTGCCAATGTCTTACCATTTGTGGCACAAAAAAGCTAAATATATTTATGTTACATTTCTATAGCTGATCATAAATTGTTTTCGACAGCTTTAGAGCTAGCTAGCTAGCATCAATATATTTTGAAGGCACTGTTAGCAGTTGCCAGTGCTTAGTTGAATTATGAGGCAAACTGAAACAGATCGATTATTTAGTCTGGAACGAGTATTAAGCAGTCCAAAAAATAAACATAAATATCGTAGCGAAATTCATTTTTAATGCGATTAACAGTTACAATGCACGACACAAACTTCACTGACTGACTGACTGACTGGCTGATTGAATGATTGATTGAAGAATGAATGATTGACTGTTGCACAGCACAAACAACATGAGCTCGAACTTCCTCTCTCTCTCTCACTCTCTCTCCTTCTCTCTCATTATCCATATGCGTTATCCATGTAGTTTACTTGGGCAGATGCGCGCCCTCCGGCTGGAATCCGTTCTCGTCGGCCACAAAATTGATCGTATAGGTCTGTCCGTCGGGAGCCACCCAGCTGACGGAGCCGCGCACCGATAGGGACTCGTTTTCGGTGCCCGCATTATTTATGACGGCCTCCTCGGTGCGGGTGGTGCCATCGCTCAGTTTGTAGCTGAACTTGTAGCCGCCAATGCCAATGTTATCCGATTCGTATTCCACAATCTCCACGTCGTTCTGTGGGCGAGCGCTGCAGCTGGCGGCAGCCAAGAGCAGCAGAGCAGCGACTAGCATCTGTTCAAGGATTGGGAAGGTTGATCGATTATTCGTGTTGTCTGTTATCGATTAGCAGCTATCCGTTTACCATTTTCACCATCTTGTCGAGAATTTCGTGCGTTTGTCTGTGTTGGCGTCTGAACTATCGAGCGTCCAATGATGCTAATGCCGCATCTTCACTGCATTTATATAGCTCCCGCACACTCGCAGAATTTGCCAACGTCATAAATTTTTGCACAATTGTATGGCCGAAGACATACATAGACAGGGCTCTCGCGGTCGTCCGGTAATGTATTTAATTTGCCAACAGTTCACCAATAGCCCCCAGCCTCAGCCTCAGCCAGAAGTCGCTGCGACAAGTAACATTTAAAGCGAATCTCTGACGCGACATTACCAAATCCGCATTCTGGCTGCACCAACTGCCCGATGCACTTGGCAGAAGCAATCGAAGTAAATATTTTGATTGAAGACTAAGTACCATAGGTTTTAGCACTGAATTGCCAGTGAAGCATTTGACTTGTGAGATAGTTGAATCAAAGATTCGAATGTTAATGCATAGCATTTCGCCGATCAATTTGAGCCTAGCTCTACAATTATGCCAGTCAAGGATTCTAAACTAAAATATTTTATTTAAGTTTCATTTGAGTCTGGATATTAATTATTTAAGATATGATTTCCTTTCTCAATAAATATGTCATACATATATTTCGTTTTTCCTTCAAATCAAAATATTTTCCTGCTATTCGAAGTGTATTAAAAAAGCAGATTGAATATTTTGTCATGTATCTGAATGTTAGTTAAATGAATGCGTAAATGGCTTGTCTTTTATAGTATATGTAAAGACCATACCAACTGATGGTTTATTGCCCAAGTAACACGATGTTAAATTTATTTGAATGCATAATAATTTCAGATGCGATTCTGATCGTTGTCAATGAGATGGCAACAGTTTAACGGTTAGGAGGGCCGCAAGTTCACATCAAGTCCAAAACTCTAAATATATGTATATATATAGACAGATGTTGAATCTACTCGCAAATCGGTAAAAGCTAAAGCGACTTGACTCTTGACATATGCAACGGCCTTTGCAGCCAGCTTCGATTGATGTATTGCAAATGCAGCTCTCTCACATATAAATATGTACATACGTATGTATATCCATCGGTTTTTGTGTGTGTGCGTATGCATTCCACCTTAGTTGACCGCTATAGCGGCGACGGCTGGTGCAGCAGCACAAGCCGAAGAAGAAGAAGCTACAAATTGGCAAGCCAGTCAATCGAGTTTCTGACTATGCCGACCTTTTATACTCAATACCCAAAACTCAGTACAACCTCTTAAATGTTGATCTATACACAGGACATTCTCCAGCTGACATTGACCATAAGATGAATATACATATAAACCTATATAATGTTAACCTACATATTATATAACAATATGTACATATATTCAATTTATGATCCCAAAAAATCAAAGTTTAGTTTAAAATAAACAAGAATGCTTATTAATAACTATCCATTCTTCTGCTTCTGCTTCTGTTGATCATAATATTTCAAACTAATGATAAAAAAAATAATGTACCATTTGTACTTGACACATATGAAGAGATAACTTCACGTATGATAAGCAGGATTTCAGATGTCAGTTCTATAAACAACAAATTACCCTTTGTCGAATAAAAACATCAAGAGAATTTATAAAACAATCAATTTATTTAAGGAGTTCAACTTCACTTAGGCAACTGGCGCGACGGGAATGTCAGCACCCTGTGGCTGGTAGCCGTTCTCATCGGCAATGTAGGTAATTACATGCTCCTGGCCCGAAGGGTCAACCCAGCTGTACGAGCCCCTAACGACAATAGCGGATTCCTCGTTGCTAATTTGCTTCAGTTGTCCTTCGGCTTGTTGCTTGATACCATTATTCAGCTCCAAACTGTATTAGGGAAAGTAAGTATCCAAGGATGAGTAAAGGCTTGAAGCATCCCTTCATGTGCTTCACTTACCTGGTCTGGAAGTTATCAATGCCGACATTTGAGTCCTGGCGCAGAACTTGGACATCATCAGATTGAGCAGGAGCTGCCACTGCCAGGGCGAAGAGAGCAACGAAGACGATGAGGAACTTCATGTTTAAGGTAATGTGTTGCGCGTTTGAGACTTCAAAGGTAACCGTGAGTTATAGGGCCAGGCAGTGGAGTATTTATAGTAAGTAAGCCGATGTGGACAACAAAGACGAAAAACTAGTTTAATGCCAAAAGCTGAAATAACTTTATAAATTAAAATGCACATATATAAAATATATATAATTGGTATTCAAAAACTTTTTTATGCTTATGTAAATCGAAGGCGTTACTGATCTCGCATTAGCAAAAGGCCATTTTATCTTTGGTATTGTATAGTAAAATTCGCGTATCTTCAGGTTCTACGCAAGTAGTTTCTATCGGTATATATTCTCGATTTCTCTTTCTGTTTTTAATATCACTGTCCCTTTTCAGATGTATATATGTACATATATATTTATATATATGTGTATATATAAATATATCAGCAAATACATATACAGCTGCTAAAATGTGATCAGATCAGGTTGCTCGCATCTTCAAGGTCATCTGACCAGCCAAATCTTGGCCAGACTTTAGATATGAGAAACGCAGACGGACAGATGGACGGATTGTGTTTCGGTTACCGGTTCTTCAAATGTTCGACGACATCTGCTTCTTCTTCTTCTTCTTTTTTTTTTTTTTTATTCGACTTTTTTATTTATTTTAACTTTACTTCTTAGTTTGGTATAGCTTTGGCTACATCGTCTCGTAGACGCTAGCTAAATTAGCACTTTAGCGTTAATGGCAATGTCTTAAAGCCAAGTTTTGTTTAATTTTCCCCGTTCTCATCCCTCGCTCCGCCTACCGCTTCGCACTAGACCATCCGAGTAACTTTGTGTGCGTATTGCAATTTCAATATGTAAATGTCACGCTCTTGCGTCAAAACGTTTTATGAGTTCTTTTTATTTTTTTTTTTTTTTTTTTTTTATTTTTTATTATTATTTTTAATTTTTAAATTTCATTTGTTAATTACATTCAATTTAACGGAGACCCAGCCTGTAAAACATCTGTTGCAGGAGCATACGAATTTGAATTTTTCAACATACTTCTAATCTAGGATATATTTATACATATATATATAAACATAGTTCTTAGGCTAAGGGTATTCTGGTTAATTCCCAGAATAATTTATTTAATTTCTTTGAATTTTTACTATCATTCCATCAACGTTCGATGGGTCATGTTCTTTTTTTCGAAATCATACAAGTATCTATATGTCTCTGCCTAACTTTATTCATCCTAAAGTTTATCATTTTTCCCCGCACAAAAGTATGTAGCAAAAATGAAAAATTTTGAATATGATACACCGCGAGGAAGTATGCGTTACTTTTAAACAAGAAAACAAAATTATAAATAAAACAAAACAGTATATAGACAATAAAAAGAGAGGTCATGTCGGCAATGCACAACTATGAGATACCCTGCACCCCCTATATAGAGCATTCTACATAACTAAACTTATAAATTTAATGTTTATACGATTTATAGGTCTGAGCCATCTATTTTAGGCAATTTTCATTTAGTTCCCAATAAACTAAATTATAGTAAAAAACTAAACCAATTTAATTCGACATTTCTGATAAATTAAACAAGAGCTATGACATTTAATTAAGTAATCCAAGCCCATTAAAGATGTTAATTTTATCGATAAATTTGCTACAAAGCATTAATACCAAACACTTTTGATACATTCCAAGCTATAAAGAATCGAGCCATAAACTACACAAAAATTATTTTATTATGTCATTTTTAATCAATACTTTATTGAAGTGCGTTTTGTTGTGTAAAGGCCCTAAAAACATTTGTAGCTAAAAACATTTAAACATAACAAACATTGGCTATTGAAACTTTTACCAAAACCGCGCTTAAAATTTCACAAAGAATATTGAGAGATGCCTCACGTCTCCCTCTCTCTCTCTCACTCTCACTGTCACTGTCGCTGTCGCTCTCGCTCTTCCTGTTACTTAACCAGCTAGCGATGAGAGAGACTTGGCCGAGAGCTTGCGATTCTTGACACCCGGACGCCGTGATGGCCTTGCGTTACGAGCAAAATTGTTGGCATTCCTTATTTCCTCAGGTGTGGAATTAGCGTTGAGCAGCTCGGCCAGCTCATCGCGATGTGTGCCATTGGGTAAAGTGTAACTGAAAGGAAATATAATTTAAGCAACACTCTCTCTCTTTCTCTCTCTCTCTTTCTCTTGCTATATTGCAGTTTGACTTACCCATATTCGTAGCCCTCTAGGGTGGGTATGTATTTGAATTGATCGAGAAATAGATCGCCCAATTGTATCTCCAGCACACTGTTAGGCGAATAAGAAGCACCAACTCCACTCTCCGTACTCCATAAAATGTTGGCTATGAGGAGTAACAGCAGACAGCTGCTAACAGTCTTACGTTGAGCGCCCATAGTGTTCGATAGCTGCAACCGTCCTCTGTCACAGCTAGCTGTGAATTGATTGCAGAGCCCGTGGAAGGGGCAGATCTTGTGGCCACGATGCCAACCTTTCAAATCGTATGCTCAATAAAGCGCTGAGTAAGGCCCAAGCTGCCGTCACACTATTGCTTCACATAAATATGCATAAGGAAAGCAGCAAAAGGTAAAAACAAGAAAGCGTCGGGTGGTACCGACTACAAAATACTCGTTCACGGTTGAAAATCAGTTATATCAATTTTCGTAAATCTCAAGAGAGAGTCTGCAGTAACTTTATAAGTATATAGTAGTAGCGCCCATGAGATGAGTAAGTGTTAGACGCGCCCGGAAGGAAGAATGATCGGGTAGACGATTAGTCGAACCGGACCTTGCATAAAACTAATATACCCTATCACTTCGCAATCGAACATAACATAGAAGACCGACAACAACAACAGACCAACAGCACCACGCAGCATGATGAGCCGACAACAAAATTGATTCGAAATCATTAAAAAAAACCTAAAAGACCTCAATGAAAAGTTCGGATGCTCTAACATATATGAAGACGGAATTCACATAGTAATAAAGTTTATGTGGCATGTATTAGCGCATTTGCCCACGCAGCGCCTTGATCGCTGAAAACTTGAATTTTATACAAATTCTTAATTATGCTAAATCTGATACAAGATCATGCATGGAATGCTCACATGCCTATTGGCAATGATATATGTATGTATATTCTCTACGCATACAGCGCGCATTAATCAAGCGCTCTCTCAAGCTGAGCTTAAAGTTTTGATCATCGTAATACTACAGCAGCCATCCGAGAGCTTTCAAATCATTGATCTAAAGAAAGCTGTATAGCTTTGAGGGCGTTTTAATACCCTAGAAATTGGCACATTGGTAGACGGTCTATATAAACGATTATTAGGATATTTAGGATTTAGGAAGTATCGAAAGTTTCGATATTTACTATGTGGGTATTATTTTTGAGCTACATATATACCATCGTTTATCGTTGTAGTCGAGACCGTAACTCGAGTGCTTGAGTTATATTTTTACGTATACCGTATCGATCATATATGATAGGTATATATATATATATATATATATATATATATATATTCTTGGAACAAAATCGCGTCAATTGAGTCTCGTTTGAAAAGCGCCTATCGTATAATGATAATGGATATCTGATTTTATTTTAAATATTGTAGATCACACTTTTGTATATACACATATTAGATCTTTAAGCTTTATCCTTCGCCGATTTCACCTTGTGCGCTGTCACATAGGGTTGAAATCCATTTTTGTTCGCTTTATACAACACCTGATACTCATAGCCATCGGCCGATATAAAGCTGTAGCCACCGCGATACTCAACAGATTTGGGAGTCGACTCGCTCTCCGGCTGTTCAGTTAACTGTTGATCCGGATTCACTTTGACTTTGTAGGTAATATCCTCCGACCGATGATAGCCATTCTCTGTCTGAAAGCTATAGAGATCTTTTCAATAGGTGTAGATCTATAAGGTGAGATTGTTATGCAGCTTACCCGAAATGCAGTTCCTCCTGACGCTCTTCGGCCTCTTCAGCCCATGCCAGCGATAGCAGCAGTAAAGCTACACTCAACTGTACCTGAAAAGGGAATTATGATATAAGTAATAAAAACTAATGCACAATTCGATCTTCAGCTTACGAATTTCATTGCATATATGTAATTAATATAACTTGTATTATGAATATCCTCGCAAGAATTCGAACTAATTACTCTCTTATTTCAGTCTAATCGTCTTCGTTTCTGGATGTTAACTGTTGCCAGCGACTGCGAATGGTTTTTGCCAGTGGCTCAGATGAGCAAATCAGCCGAAATAAGTCTAAAAGATAATGAAAACAAATATATCTGAGCGGCCAGCCTTTGTGATGCCGATTGCGTCATAGTTTATGGCTCAACTTTTGTTCTCAGTCCAAACCCAAAAAAAAAAAAAAGAAGACTAAAATGTAAAAAAATATAAAAAATAACAATAACAACAGATTTTTTTTTTTAACAACAGAACATGAAGAAAGCTAACTAAAGCATTGGAAGCGGATTCGTGCCGTTTTTTTTTTTTCTTTTATATCATCAACTTTAATCAACATAAATATTTGAACATTGCTTGAGCTGTATTTTGAGACAAGTGCTTAATTTATGTTATAATATTTTAGATTGCCTAAGGCAGAAATAATTTGAATTTGTTCTTGATTTGTCCTCTAGAGTCTATACAAAGTTCTTGGCACCCCAATGAATTGATTATATAACTAAAGCGATTATTGTGTATTTGCTTTTAAAACATTTTTTTCTGGTTCTTTTTTTGTGTGTTTGAATATGTTGGTATTTATCAATAAATTTATAGTGATTTTATATTTGTTTACAGTTTAAAATCATTGTTTATTTTTAAATTTTTTTTTAATATTAATATATTTTTAGTACTTTTTATAATATTTTTAAAACTTATTAATATTCTTAAAACATAAAATCTTTTATTTTTTTATTTTAAAGCGCTTTCTTTAAATAATAACTAATAATATATTTTTTAATATTTGTCTCAATTTTAATAAATTAAAATTATTATATTATTTATTATATTTTACTAATTCAAATACTTTTAATAAACGATAAATGATATTTCCATGAATCGATTTGAGTACTCCACCCTTAACTAGCCTAATCAACAGTTGCTAGAACTCCCGCGAATCGGATATACATATACTGATATGCACATTTGTGCTGTCAATGTGGGCTGCGAATAATTTATCAAAGGGTCCGCATCAAAATGTTTATTTAGGCGTGCAGAAGAACTTAATCGGCGCCGTGGTTGAAGCGCCAGAAATCGCAATCAGATCGTTGCGCTCTGTCAAAATGCCTTTCATGAAGTTGAGAATCGAGGTTTCGCTTTTTGGCAAATGCGGGCGCGAAATATGCGCAATGGGTGCGTGGCGAAATGTCGAGCCAATGACTCCGATAGACCGACAATTGTTGGTTTTGGCAGCCGGTGCAGCGCTTGGTGCTAGCTGGAGTGGTGGTTAGTTGGTGGATTGTTGGTGGTTTTCGTTGGTTTTCGGTGGTTGCTAGCCAACTGCCCAACTGGGCAACAGCTGACGCTGACGCTGACAATCGCTGAACAGGTTCAAAAATCCACAGCGCCTGGGAAGCCGTCAGCTGCGCGCCAGCACATTACAAGTAGAACAAGCTGGCAACAACATTGCCATTAGCTAGGCCAGTGCCAATGTGCCAGCAGCAGGACCAGAACCAGAACCTGAACCAGAATCCAGAATCCAGTTCAGGGTTGCCAAGCCAGCCAAGCCAGCCCACCACCACCACTGCCCAGGCAATATTAGCGGCATCACAGTCTGCACTCGTTGGTCTGAGCTGAGCCTGGGCAAAAAGTTAATAGACGATTGACTAAAGCCGACAACTCCAGGGGCTTAGCACCCTGCTTCACCTTCGCCCCGCCCTCGTTTGGGACAGGCAAAGTGCATTAGAGTAGTTGCCAAACATACTGGGGGTGGTTGCCGCTGCCGCTGCCCCTGCCGCTGCAGGTGTTGCCTGTGCCCGTGCCTGATCCTTATCCTACGGCGTCCGCTTGCAGCTCCCTTCATAGCTCTGCTCTGTTGAGGTCTAGCGGGTTTTGTTGTTTTTGGCGATTAGTTGCGGAAATGTAAGATTTTTAGTTTGTCGATTTATCTAGATTTGATTTAATTGCTAACTGTTTCAGTGTAATTAATGATAAGGAACTGAAAATTCAATTTCATCAACTGCGTTTGTTGAGCAGCAAAAAGCTTATGCAACACTTGAGAATTGCAGAGAGGGGGGCATTTGTTAAAATGATGAATGCTGAATTTTCAATGGCTGTGCTAGAGATCAGTTATAAGAGAAGAAAACTGATAACTGAGAACTGAATAGAAACTACAATTATAACTAAAAAAAAAAAAAAAATAAATAAATAAAAAAAAAAAAAAAAAATAATAATAATATAAAATATTCTGTGCGAGGGCCACAGCATTTCAGCTTAACAATAAATAATATACAATTTAAGTTTATATATGATTTGCCTCCTTTCATCACAGCTGGTATCAAGATCTTTGCCCTCATTTTCGCGCAGTGCATTCGCATTGGCCCAGTTTTCGGTTTTGCATTATTTCATTTTCCGATGCAACACATTTGGCCACATGGCCACGCACGTGCCTGACCCCCAGGTGCAACAGGTTGTGGTCAACAGCAACTGCTGGCCATAGATATAAAAGCAGCCGTCAGTCGGCATCGACGGGCATCAGAAGTGCATTAGCCAAATGGAACGAACAACTTTGTGGATAGTTCTGCTCATCGGCCTGCATGTGGCAGCGGCTAAGCCGGCGGGCTATCCGAGTGCGCGTCCACCTGCAACTTATGTGCCGGCCAAGCCGCCAGCACCGAAGCCCAAGCCGAAGCCACCGAGCAGCAGCTATGGAGCACCAAAACCACCGCCACCTGCGCCAGCACCGAAGCCAGCATACGGAGCACCAAAGCCAGCGCCGCCACCTGCGCCAGCCCCGAAGCCAACATACGGAGCACCACCGAAGAAGCCCCCACCAGCACCACCACGCGACAGCTACGGTCCGCCGCCCAGTAATCCTAATCAGAATTATTTGCCACCTTCGAATGGAGGCAATGGCGATGGTGCCGGTGGCGGCGGAGGAGGTGAAATTATACCCATTATCAAGCTGGAATCGAAAGTGAATACCGATGGCTCCTATATGGTGAGACAAGCTGGTTAACCTCTAAATGAAAGCTGCTGAAATTCGCTTCTCTCTGCTTCCGTAGTACGAATATGAAACGGGCAATGGCATCAAGGCCGAGGAGATGGGCTACCTGAAGAATCCTGGCGTCGAAGGTGCTGAGGCACAGGTGGCCGAGGGCTCCTTCTCCTACAGCAGTCCGGAGGGGGAGAGCATCTCGCTGACCTACATAGCCGACGAGAATGGCTTTCAGCCGCAGGGCGATCATCTGCCCACACCGCCGCCCATACCCATCGAGATACAGGAGGCACTCGATAAGCTGGCCGCCAGTGGAGGCTGTCACGATTGCGACGACGACGGCGGCGACGCAGCCCCTGGCGGCTATGTCTATCGAAAGTAATTAAATTGAGAAAACTGAACAATAAACACGGACTCGAGCCACAACCGAATAGCAACAGCAACAACAACTGGTCTTGGCCCACTTATTTAAAACAAGCAAACACCAACTCGAAATTGGCTCGCGCCAGGTGTGCCTGCCTCTGCCTCTGCCTCTGTCTCTGCCTCTGCCTTTGGCTGTGACTCTGCCTGCAAATTGGCTGGCACACTTTACATTACTGAAGGGCTGCGCAACCACAACCCCTCCCCCAGATTTGTCGCTCGCCCTATGCCTACCCCCACCCCAGGCGTCTGTGACTGTGTGACTGGCAACACATGTTTTTCGCCTTGTCCTGTTGATCGCATCGCCTCATAGTATATATTAGCGGCGGGGTTGTTGCCTTTCCAATGATGAAAACATTAGTGTCGAAGCATATTTTACGCGGCACAGGAGCGGACCAGCTGCGGCTGCAGTTGGGCCCGATGATGAGTCAAGAATTATAAAGATCTATCTATTTTTATTCAATTTTATATATAGAAAAGTGTTCAGAAAATTCATCCGCTTGGGTAATACTAGGCAAGATTTATATAAATGTAGATGAATAGATCTATGGCAAGCTAGTACTATATTCTAACTCCCAACTTCACAATTAAATCTCTAGGAACCTATACAACTTTATATCGTTTGCTATAGATATAAGAACATCTTCCTCATCAAAATAAATGTGCCTTTCATAAAGAAAATTCAATGTCAGCTCTAGCTTTTCACTTTCCTACATATTTGGGCCCCTTTGAGTCCCGTCAGCTCGCTCGCTTAACAAAAATCACGACCCACCCTAAACCACAAATAGTAAAACGATACACACCAATATATTAAGGCATTATCAATGAGGGTGACCGGGCCGGCAAGGACGAGGGGGATGGCATTGACGAAAGCGAATGCGATTTGTATATGGTGGCATTACAGCAACAACAACAACAACAATACGAACAAGGACAACAAACGATCGTTTAATTTCAATTAAAAACATTTGCCTGGGCATAGCCAGCCCAAAAGCCAAAAAAAAAGAAAAGGACAAGGGACTTGGGCAGGGGGGGAGGGTCGTTTTTGGGTATGAGAGGATTAGGCAAAGGAATACGCACACTTGCTACAGGGCCGCTTAGCTTGATGCTTAGTGCTTTAGTGCCGATGTACATGATGTTGCACTTGCCGCGCACAGCCAGCTACCACCGTGCGGACCAGGACCTGGCGCAAAGGGATGCCCGCGTCCTGGTCTGAGCTGGTGCGTGCGAGCGAGAGGGCCGCAAAGTGCGTAGCTATGTCTGCGCTGGGAATTCTTGCACTTGACGCCGGAGTTGTTTTGACACTGCAAGCCGTAACAAATCCAAACACAGGACATTTATCGAGCAGGGAAGCTGCGTCGCTATAAAAGCAGCGGCCGGCTTCCAATTGGAAAACAGAATCGTTTACGAACGCGAGCGATGCACACGACGGCTCAACTCGACAGCCTGGAACTGGATGAATCAAGTGGACAGGGCTCCAAGCGCTCCGCCAGCATGATCTTTCGCATCGAGCAGCTGCTGCCCGGCAGCACCACGGCGACAACAACGACAGGGGCCACGCCCACCATCTCGACCCAGCAGGCGCCCGCTAAGAGAGCCAGGAGCAGCTTGCGTCCAGGTGTCTATACAGCTCAGTATACGCCCAAGGACACGTGCTCCGGCGGCATACCCACTGCAGCGCTGCTCAGCTCCATGGGCACGCCCACTGCCAGCGACGCCCACGTGCATTGCAGTCTGGCCAACGGCGAATTGGCGCTATCCGCCTCGATGCTGCGACAGATCAAACTCTCCGAGGACATTTACAGCTTCAATGCACTGTTCGAGCTGCACGCCGGACAGCTGCGCATTCGACTGGTGCGGGACGTGGGCCGCGAGGACGAGATTGTGGCCTGGTTCGGCGAGGAGCTGGTGTTGCTCATGGGCATACCCTTTCTCACACCTCTCAATATACAGGGTAAGAAATCAGAAAATTGTGAATGATCACTGAAGTTTCTTTTCTCTACAAAAGTCCAATTAGAATGAAGACTTATAAGTATATGCGAATCCAATTGGAATTACATTTAATAACGTGTTTGCCTATGGTTCTATAATACAACCTTAAAATATTCCAATTTGTCATGCATTGTTTATCCAATTGGAGTCCAAACCCCATTTTAAGCTCAGTACTCACTCTACCATATGATGCCCAAATCTAATTGGATTCCCATCAACTTCGCTTCTCCCTTAGGCAACAATCGGTACACCTGTCATCTGTGCCATTTGACCTTCGAGACGCCACATCCGTTGAAGATCCATCTGGCCCTGGGCTGTGGCCGCAGCGTTATGGATCTCTTGTGGATGCGCTTGCACTACGCACTGAAGGCGACGGCACCCAGCTCAACAACAACGATTACTCTGTCACCCACACCGGCCACCTCCTCGACATCCTCGGCCTCGCCGAATCGCTCGCCACCACCGCCGCCTGCAGCTACATCCGCACGCTTCTCCGCCTTTCGCCCGCTGGCTGGCATGCAATCGCTTGGCCTGCCCTTGCCACACAGCTCTCAGCCGCCGGCAGCAACGATGTCCTATCTGCCCTCCATTTCAGCGATGGCTGCACCGCATCCGATGAACGCAGCCGCACAGATCGAGGCGATCGTCAGCAATATGGGCGCCTCGAAGCAGGGCCATCTGTGCATCTACTGCGGCAAGGTCTACTCGCGCAAGTACGGCTTGAAGATTCACATACGCACCCACACTGGCTTCAAGCCACTCAAGTGCAAGTTCTGTCTGCGTCCCTTCGGCGATCCGAGCAATCTCAACAAGCACGTGCGCCTCCACCTACAAACGCAGCCGAGTGGCAGCAGTGGCGAAGCCGATGGCCAGCAGGAGACGGGCTACCAATGCCAGATCTGCCACAAGACGCTTGCCCGGTCCAGAGATCTGCAGCGGCACATGGAGACGCGACATTCCGCAACCAGCACTACGACAACTGCAACAGCGTCGGCGACAGAGAGCCCCGTGCCGCATCATAGCTGAGTGTGGGCGTGGCAGCGATTATATATTGTATGATTTATATAAGGCTGTATATATATATTTAGAGGACTTTGGATAGATTATATTTAGAGGAGTCTGGCTGTGATTGGGCTTGTAATCCCGTAGAGACTTGCAGAGTCGAAATAAATAATTTGTTATGATATTGATTGCTTAAAGATCTTTCACTTCGAGAGAGGGATTGGGAGAGAGAGGGTTGGAGACAGAGAGAGGATAATTTATATTTATCATTTATAACGATATGATGCTGATGTTTAGAATATATATATTACTTTTAATCTACGCTCATCCTTCATTCTTTCCACTTCCTCACAGGATCTCAAGTCAAATCAAGTTATGAAATCAAATGAATCAAATTGTTTAATCGCTTTATTCATTTCAATACGTAATCAAAGTGTATTTCTATCGAAATAATGCACAAATCGTATTAATTATTCGATAATGTTCGCTCACATCTACACACACGAGCACATACATAACAGTTAGTGTATGTGCGTATGTGTGTATGTGTGACTGTATACATAAATATAGATGAATACATTCAGGATATCCCATTTGGGCGTTCAGACATCATACAGCAAAGCAATCACAAAATGTATTTTAACTATGTCAAAGCAGATCGATACCTAACTATGTATATATATATATATATATATATATATATATATATATATATGTGTGTGTGTTGGTGTTGGTGTGTGTATGTGTGTGCTGTTAGAAAACTGTCGTTTGAGCAAAACATGTTCCAAAATAGTCAAAAATACAAGATTTATACATATATATTGTAGTATATGGTAGAAAATGCGACGGTAAGTTAAGAGTATATTATTAAATACAATATATATAGTATGTATATATACACATATGTGTGTGTGTGTGTGTTTATGTAGTATATAGATCGGAGCATAGAGTTAACTATATATTTGTTTACGATACTGGAACTAGTACATTTCTCGTCTTCTTTTGTTTAAACAAAACATTGTGTTCTTGTTCTTATACAGTTTAAGGCACTACCTCAAGGAATTTCTATTCCAGAGTGTCCCTTGGGGGGTTTGTTTCAAGTAGTTTCGATTCAGTTATAACAGAAAATTCTTAAGGTTGACAATACGCTGTGTAGGTGTATGTTTGTGTGTGTGTGTGTGTGTGTGTGTGTGTGTGGGTGTGTATTTATCACTTGAAGCACTTAGTATATAATTAAACCGTTATTCGTATTATGTATATATAGATGTATGCAAGGTTTAGCTAATCTTTCTCGTTTTTACCTATTTTGGATATTTGACGATACGTTTTTGTTGGCTTTAAAGTCTCTACTCGTTACATAAGGTTTACATATACACATTAGACACCGATCGTAAATACTTAAGACTTTTAGGAATACATACATGAATATATATATACTAGCTTAAAGTGTCGGGTATTTTATTGGAATTTTTATTGCATTGTAAAAATCGTAACACAAATTCTTACATGAAGCACACTTGGGTTCGGTTAACTACGATTTCATTTTCGTTTAACAAAATGTTATTATTATTAATATTATGCAATTGTTCAAGTTAATACTAACAACATTTATTACAGTTACTTGAATAAATGTACGTATGCAGTTAATAGAGGGTCTTGGTATGTATATCATTTATATATATGTAGTAGTATATATATGAAGTTTTGGTTGTATTACAGTTGCTCGTGCTCGATCGTTGTTGTTCCCGCTGGTTCTTTATCTTTGAAGTGTTTACGAATTTTATTTGAAGCATTCTCTTTAATTTCGCTACGCTTAAGTTTTTAATAATTCACTTTTTTTTTTTTTTTTTTTTTTTTTTGTTATAATTTTGTTTTGGTTTTCAATGGGAAACCTTGGTTTTAGTACGTTTTGGATTTGATTTAACTTGGCTTAATTGAAATACTGAACTGCTGAACACACACAGACAAAAAATGTTTATTATAAAGTACAATTGGTTTTTGTTTTCCTTTTTTCACTCTTAGATTTTGGTTTTTTCCTTTTATCTAATATATAACTTTATTATGTACGAGTATAAGTGTTTGTTAGTTAGCAGATCTCAAAACTGTTTTTTTTTTGTTGAAGAC